ACACTTATAATAGTAGTATTTTTAATTATAAAGGCACTTTAAAGCTATTTTTAACCTTTTTTATTAATTGTTTTTAGGTTAGTTAAGTGCTTATAATACATTTAGGGTCTCTAATAATAATAGACTTTCTTAGAAGATAGAGAATAAAAAACTGCTCTTACCTTTTATAGCCTTTTAATACTAGTAATACTATTTATATAAATTACTAATTTAAAAGCTATTTAAAACCTTATTTATTTAACCTTTCTTATTAAGGTTTAAGAGGTTTAAGATATAATTATTCTAATAGCTTAAAAATATAGAGCTAATTAAAGCTATTATAGCTATAAAATCTAGGGTTAATTAAAGCTCTTTTATATTAGGTAGGTTAATTTAACGAGCTTCTACTAATACCTTCTATTAGCTTATAATTTAAGCCTTAATTTTCGTACGATTAATGCTCTTTAATACTAATTTATATTTTAATAGAACCTCTCTTTTATATTCCTATAATATAGGTTATAGCTAGGCTTATAGTAGCTTTAATTATCTTAAAACGCTATCTATTAATAGTTATAAAAGCAAATTAAATAATAGGATTATTCTTAGAATTAAAGCTATTTAAGTACGAAAAATAAGCTCTTATTTATAGATATTAAGGTCATTTAATAGGTCTCCTAAAAAGTAATTTATTTTAAGGGGTTTTATAATATTTAGCTATTAAAGGTTTAGCTTTAATAGGGTAATAACGCGAGCCTTCTTTTAAGGCTTTTTATATAATTAAAAAGCAGTTATTTAAGGCGTTTTAGAGCTTATTAGGGTCCCTAATATATAACATAATTGGAAAGCAGCTATTTGAGGCGTTTTAGGGCTTATCGGGGTCCCCGATAAATAGCAGCCTTTTTCCATTAAAAGGGGCCTTTAGCGTTGACAGCATAGGTAATGTATCGGACTATTATAAAAGTAAAAATAAGTTTTTTATATTGATTTGTAGCTAACATCTTTGTTATCCGCGAGCCTAGGTTCATAATTTTTTGATGTGCGTAGTATCTGTTCACAAAGTTGTCTTAGGCTTACATGTCCTGGTTAAGGATTGAACTGTACAGAATTCGAGCTTTTCCGCAAAGACAGTCCCCTCGGTTCTCGACCAGGACCCAATCTCTCTGGCACCTCAAGCTTGCGCTCACCTCCCACCTTTCCGGCTGGCTACCAGGTACATCGTCTGCAACAGACTTACACAGCATTTTTGTAAGTAGCCCTTGGTGAGGAAACGGATGAATCAGCGACTTCGGAACTACACTAAAACTGGCAGCCATTAGTGCCGAGAGAATTGTGTCAAGTGATAGATTGTCCAAGAGCTTCTTGAAAACACCAAGTCGTCGTACAGAGCACGTCATCCGTGCCGACGTTCCGTGCGGGGGGTCGCCGGCCGGCTGCACGAACGGGCCTGTTCCTCTTCATCTTTGCCTACCTGTGGGATCCGATGGACGGATTTCCCTTGGCCCTTTTATTCCGTTTCCTACTACGCGGAGTGGTACGCAATGGTCAATGTTGTTATCTGCAATGCAACTATCTAATGCTGGCTGGTGGTTCATCGCAGCCATCGCATGACAAATGAATTCGTAATTCTAATCGGAGGGTCGCTGACAGGTTCGGCTCGGCAGAGGACAAACTGCATTTATATCGGAATATCGGTAATGCGTCAGAAAGGAAGGGGATCAGCACAAGTGCCCTGTTGCGCGGTGTTAATCATACATGGGCTGAATGTCGCGATAGTTCCACCGCACCGCGTCATGAGGGAAAAGCGTTGAATAATTGGTTATTGGCAAACCATGTGGGCCGCAACGTCTGTCAAGATCCAGGAGCGATGACACCATCACAACCCAGCCGCTCCGCCGAACTTGGAAGCGCCAGGGTCAAAATGCTGTGTTCAAACGAGTCGCACATACTCATCATTTTCGTTCATGTCGAATACTTTCTTCAACAATTGAAGCTTGACCTAAAGCTGACTAGTGTGAAGCTAGGATTGGGGTAAGAGAATGGCTTTATAAAGACATTTGATACCCTGCTGACGGCATTGCGCCATGGTGTCTCACTTCCACACAGACCGGAGGGCTGAGAAAAACACTCTTGCCACGGCTGATCCTCTACCGACAAACCGACGGTCTCTTTCGTCGTCCATGGTTCCAGTTACCCACCGCATCTGGAACAAGATGACAATACCATTGTTCTTGCTTGTGGCTTTAGCCCTCGCTTTCCGCATGGCCAGCGGCACGAATCACCATCAAAATGGCACTTCAAAACCGAATTTCATCTTCATCATGACGGATGATCAAGATCTGCACCTAAATTCTCTTGAATATCAGGACATAGTCCAAAAGCAGCTGATCGAAAAAGGCACCACGTTCAAGAAGCATTTCTGCACTGTCGCATTGTGTTGTCCGTCGAGAGTGTCTCTCCTTACGGGGAAGACTGCGCACAATACCAATGTTACCGATGTGTCATGGGTACGTCCAACTCTTCCAGACCTCGATGGTCGGCCTTTATCCGTATACCATAGATTGATTAACAATGTAAATAACAGCCGTATGGTATGTTCCATATCTCGATGACCTTTCCAAAACCCTAGTTACGATCCATGTACACGGATCATTGGGTGAGCCGCGTGTCAAACTGACTAGACTTTCATGTTTTACAGGTGGATACACGAAGTTTGCTACACAGGGGCTCAATGAGGCGTATTTGCCCGTGTGGCTACAAAGCTACGGGTATAACACATACTACACCGGAAAACTCATGAACCAGCACAGCACTCGCACATACAACCAGCCCTTTGCTAAGGGATGGACTCGCTCTGACTGTACGTGATGTCGACGGGCGAAACTCCCCTCTTGCTCAAATCACTAACCGACCATGTCGTGCGTCTACAGTCTTGCTTGACCCTGGAACTTATAGCTATCTTGATGGTATCATGGCCCTAGACAAAAATGAATACAGGAGTATCAAAGGGCAATATTCCACCGACGTCATTGCCAATAGGTCCCTTGAGTTCCTCGATAATGCCCTTGCTGCCGGCAAGCCTTTCTTCTTGGGTGTTGCGCCTATAGGTCCTCACGCCAATACGGGGTTTACGACGCCGATTCCTGCCGACCGACACAAGCATCTATTTCCAAATGTCTCGATTCCTCGCTCCCCAAGTTTCAATCCAATTACAGTACGTGAAGACCCGCAGATGAGATTGCGCAAAGCTAAGAACCTGCCATAGCCTGGCCATGTCAACTATCTGAAGAATCTTCCGCGATTAAACTCCACACAAATCCAATACAGCGATAACTTTTATCGCGCTCGGTTACAGACCCTACAGGCTGTCGATGAGCTAGTTGGCGGCATCATTGACGCCTTGGAAAAAGTCCCGGAAGTTCTTGCCAATACATACATCATCTACACCAGCGACAACGGCTATCACATCGGACAGCATAGATTACCCCCCGGAAAGACCTGCAACATTGAAGAGGATATCAATGTGCCATTCGTCATTCGCGGGCCCGGCATCGCCGCGGGCAAAGAAGTCTCCTTCCCGACCTCCCACACCGACATTGTCCCTACTTTATTCAAGCTCGCGGGTATCCCTCTGCATGAAGACTTTGATGGTGTTCCCATTGCAGTTACGCGCAAAGATCAGAAGCACCGGGTGCGCAAGAACGAGCATGTCAACATTGAATATTGGGGTCAAGGCTACCTCGAGGGCGAAGTCTTTGGCAACTTGCAGGGGGCGTTTGCGAAAAACACGTACAAAACTCTCCGTCTCGTCGGTGACAATCACGACTTCATGTACGGCGTCTGGTGTACCAACGAGCACCAGCTGTACGACATGAAAACTGATCCACATCAAATGACGAATTTGTACGGAAGCAAGGAAAAGACGTCGAGATACGACATACCTGCTTTGTCTGCTCGGCTGGACGCTCTGCTGCTCACCCTCAAGAGCTGCAAGGGCAAAGTCTGCAGAGAGCCTTGGCAAACCCTCTTCCCTGATCCCAAAGACAACGTCCGCTCCCTCGACGATGCCATGGATTCAAAGTATGATGACTTCTTTTTTAATCAGCAAAAGAAGGTGACTTTTTCAGAGTGTGTAAATGGTTACATAACGCAATATGAGGGGGCGTTGGAGCCGGTGGGCTACGTGGATTGGAATAGATATCTCTCTCAGAACAGCTGGTCTCATGAGACTTGACCTGGGCTCGTGTTGCCTAATGTACCTACTTGCGGTCTATACATATCCATCCTTGAACGGGATAACTTGGCTGCGCATATAAATGTTACTTTAAACAATATATACGAGACTATCAAACCCACGTACGTCTCAATGGGGAGCAGTACACCCCTGGAGTGTCGGTGACTGGAGCGACGTTGACGAAAACAGCCCAGCGAATATCGCTCCAGGTTTTGTAATTGGCTATGGTGATCATTTCTATCTTAACAGCTAGAATGCCCCCTTTTCTGTCTTACTTCAAGAGCAACATGGACCCCGGCTTAAACTCAACCAATCTGTGGCGGAGAACAGAAACCTCAACTATTCGTCAGTTCAAAAGCAATGAATGATGTACATGGTCAACAAGCTCCCATACCTAGTTACAAAGCAAAATGGTATCCTTGGCATCTGATTTTCATTATATATGTCGCTTTCTCCGTTTCTTGCGGCCAAGATCTCTTACCAGATTAACCTTGTCCAAGCAGAGCGCAAGATGTCGATCAACAACTCAAAGGAAGTGAGTGAAAGCCATATTCCGGATCTTAGCAAACCCAGCACACAAGCCTAAATGCCATTGTGAGGTTTATTTTCAGTTCCTATGCACAAGATTCCCCACTGGCTGATTCTGGGAGACGACAGATTGCCTCGGAAAAACATCAATGAATCGTTTAGCAGACGCCAGGCCGGGTCTGAGTAAATTTCTTCGTCTTCATAAACAAGTAAAGTGCTCTAGTAGTGGATTTACATGTACGAATTGCCCCTTCTTTATTTACAGACCGCCAGCGGCGCAAATTGAAGCAGCAGCAGAAGCCTGCCTATCATAGCGATCGGGGGAACTGGACTGCTGGAATTTTTGACACAGAGCGCCAACACTCAGAGTCTGCCAGCGATCGATGCGCTTCATTTCAGAAAAGAATAGACCCGCAGAACAGCCGGCATCCATGCTACAGGCAATATTGTTGTAGACAGAGGCGCGCTGTTGGAAAATACCGACGGAGTCACGGTCAGAGCTAATGCCGCCGTGTCTGTACTTCAACGATGCCGGGACCGCGTTGTTCGCGCACATGAGAAGCTTAGACTATTACATTTATAAATCTATCAGCGGCTTCTAATGTCTTAAAGTGTCAGGGGATAGCGGATTGGTGACGAACCTCCACAAGAGCAGTAGCAATCGCAGCCACGCAGCCGCGTCTTTGGACACCATTGGCCTTGGCCCTGGCGACGATTGATCTGGCGCAACTACTTTAAGCGGCATTGAGGCTAGGAAGGTTAGCTAGGTGCGGTGACGCCCAAGACGAGATAGGCCAGAACGTTGTTGAACTTCATCCCGCTGTGCTCTTAGAAACCAGAAACTTTGTGGAAATATATGACATTTGGGGAAAACGATCTTTTTTGGTCAAAGTATTGGAAGCCAGCACATCTTTGATAACCGGAGAGATGACAGTCCTATTTATGGAATTGATAGAAACTCTCGAGCACTTGCCATCAACTCGTAGTTGTACTTGCACCAAGGATCAGCAGGGTCCGGATACCAAACAGAGTGGGACTGGGGTGACCTCGTCTGCGAATTCCCGGTCATTCAAATCTTCCTGTCAAACATCATCTTACGCCTGCTCCGCAATGTTATTTCTCACTGGTGTATAATTATTCTACTTGTAGAAACAGTCGGTAGCCAATGGAGACGGCTCATAAGGGCTCATAAGCCCACGCTGTCTACTCCGTACAACTTGCTGTAGTTTTGCCAAGCCTAGTGTACTTCTGCCGTGACTAGCAATGTACTTGACGCCACACCGAGTCGACAACAGCATTGGCCAACACTGGCAGTAAGACGTAACAACTAAACATTATCATTTAGATTACAAAGCATAACTACTATCTCTGAGCATCCATATTCGCGTTCTAGGAGAACATGAAGGGTGCAAAGTCTGGGACCAGTCCTCGTATTGGGAAGCCATTGGTCTTGAGTTAGTCTCTTGTCACCCATTCCCAACGGGTCCGGACCTGCCGTTTAGGGATTTACAATTTAATGATGGATGGTTGGTCTCTAAGTGAACTGCCGGCACTAGGAGCCAAAATTGGGTCAACGCCAACTAGTTACTGCCCGTAATGGTTCAAATGTTGGGTTAACCTATTGCGGCATGACCGCTGACAAACTCACGGCTAGGTATGGGATTGTCGCAAGGTCCGGTATCAAGACGCGGTGTTTCCGACACCTAGCCCCTTGATAAGCGGGAAGAGAAATAGGTTTCACCGGCCACCCTGATAGTCATGGGCCCAAAAGCCTGAAAGATTGGACTGCGCGGGGTGGCTTTAGTTCATATTCAGAGCAACTTTGCTTTCGAATTTCAGGAGCATATGAAAAATAAAGATAAGCAACAGGAAGTGTTGGAAGGTTGGGCCAGTAGTGGAAACGTTGCATATTACGAATTCAAAAGATGGGGAGAGCGGCGGCGACACCGACACGGCTTTAAACAAAAGGGGATGAACATCACAAGGTTTCAATGAGTTCCGGGAATTCTTTATGGTCCTGAGATTCCTCCCTTCTTGCCGCCCGCTTAGGGTCAAAAGCCGTCTCTGCCTACAGAACCACGTCTGAGGGGACTGGGAACTCCCACCAAATACACCTCACCACTCACCATTCCCATCACGGCTTGCAAGCGCAGCATGTCGCCTTACAATTAGAGTTCGCAAACCTCGAACTTCTGACAGTCATCACGAGGGATTACCAAATGTTCAAGTATAAGGCGTATGTCGTATCTGTGAGGCACGGTAGGGGTAGGTTTGAAGTTTATGCAATCTGGAAAGTCGAAGTGCTAGTGAAAATGTGGCAAGGGCTTAGCAGAGGCCTTATAATGGTAACTAAATTCATCTCATAACAGTCTTCGGTATCAAAAAGAGATGATATTTGGGAGAATAATCTCTGTAAAATCCCCTCTCCGTTTCTCGTCAACTTGTTCTAACCGATGCCGCAGATCGTCATCCAAGCCGTCAGGGCACGCACCCAGAAGTGGATTACGAAATGCAACATGACATATATAGTCTGGGCGTCGTACTCTTGGAATCGGCCTGTGAACGTCATTTGTACTGTACGGAAAAGATGAGGAAAATTGTTCATCTGTACGAAGCGATATACTTGGATCGGCGGACTGGGTGGCACGACCTCGAAATACGCCAGGCAGCGCCAATCGAATCAAGCGGCAACTTGAAGATGTGGCTTCCAGGGAGCTGCCATGCCGACTAGGGAACCGGTATACTGATGTTGTCCTTTTGTGCTTGCGATGTTTGGATGTAGGAAGTGGTACCAACCACGACGGACAAGGACTCGGTGTAGGTGCTGTAGACTGCACGGATGAAGATGGGATTGTCCTTGGGGTAGCCTATATTGAGAATGTGCTTGAGAAACTGCACAGCATCATGGTGTAGAAGTTTTTGCTGTCATATTGGTCATGATCGGCCTTGCATACTGCCCGCTTATGAAAGAGGACGGACGAGTCTTGACCGTAAACGAGCCAGAAAGCATAAGTCTCAAGAAGAGCTCGCCCATGCCGAACGGCGCAGAGCACGAGTTTCATCCCCTTATCGGACTGCATCGGTTCAGCGTGACGAAAGCGAAAGAATCCCCGACTCGGCCGCCTCCCTGATGGGCTAGGAACTGTAAGTGAGGCCTCCAGACTGAACATCTGGACTCCCTGGCTGCAGTGGAACGGTGAGATTCGCCCATGCCGCAGCCAGACAGCACGGTTGAGTTGCAACATGGAAGCGAAGGCGACTGGGTGCAACAGTGGCTGCTGCTGTGCCACTTGACACGCTGCATGGCTCCCTGTTCGTCTGTCTGCTGTGAGTCCAGACATGGATGTCAAGTTCTTCAGTCCTACGCAACCTAGTTACCCATCGCTCGACGATTATTGGCACCGGGGGGGCAAGGGGACCAAGGGACCAGGCACGCAATAGACTCTGGCCGTCTCCCAAGACCCTGTTTCTATGGTCTTCTCTGATCTGCCGGCTTCTTGCTTCGCCTGGTCCAGCAAGCCGTCTGTTTGGCCGTACGGAGTACAATACAGACGAATGGGGTCAACGAAGCATTGGGAGCAGCTGTCAACTCAGAACTGCCCAACTTCAACCTTGACGACATTATCAACGGCGGCCAAATGCCGCCAAGGGCAATAACGCCTACTGCCATACTCCCGAACGGCTGACTTGAATCTGGTGACTTTAACTTTTTGTCTGTCATGGCCTCGAAATCAGACATTGAGCACTGGCACATTGACACCGCCACCTATGACAATCGAGTGGAGGAAATACACTTTGTTACAGACCCTAAGAGGAATATTAGGCGGAAACGGCAAACAGTGGTTTGGCACTTTGAGCAGCTCCTAGGCCGGGGAGGCTTCGGGGAAGTAAGGCTGGAGAGGAACAGGAAAAATGAGGCTGTTAGGGCTGTTAAAAAGATCGCAACAGGCGCCACTCTCAGTAATAACGACTGTGAGAAGGAACTAAAGGCATTTCTGGAATTCTTAAAGCTAAAAGTACGTCAACTGCGGCCAAGATAACTCTATCACGTCGCTGATTTTAGATAGTATTGCGAAGCTGCCGTGTTTGTTGAGTTTATTGGGTGGTTCAAGAATAGCCTTAATGTCTATCCATTAATGGAATACATTGCTCTAGGAGACCTTAACAAGAACGTCGCTCCTTGTTCTGGGAAACTAACTTAGTAGAATCAGAGACTCAGGACATTACTCGGCAGATACTATCGGGCTTGGAGATTATATACGCCGAGTCTTTTGCACATCGCGGTCTCAAGCCGCAGGTATTTTGTCATGAGTTTTGGCTTTCTTCCGGTCGCTAATTACTGATGAACATGCATGCAACAGAGTGTTTTGGTCGTACATGGACCACCCCAGTGGTGGGTGAAGATTGCCGACTTTGCAGTGAGCAAGAGACTGACTGTGAGCACCGAGTATCACACCAAGAGCGGCACTCAGCCGTACATGGCACCTGAAATTCTCGATTACTTGGACTCAGCAAAGTCAAGCCCAGGATACACCAATGCTGTTGACATATGAGCAGTCGAATGCATCACGTATTGACTTATTACTGGCAATGTCCCCTTTCCATCCGGCAAATCTTTGGTGAAATCTGCCAAGACAGGTCTTTCTTTCATTCCCACGCTCTTCTCAATAGCGGGGTTGGAAATACATGCTTCAACTTCATTGGAAAGCTTCTCGTAACTTGTCCGGAGGAGAGACTTTCAGCCTCGCAGGCCCTGCGTGACACATGGATTAGCCCAGGTAAGGATACAAGTAGTCTGCAGGCCACTCTTCTTGAGCTAATTTCATTTCACTTCTCCTAGCGTCCGACGATGGGGAACCTTCAGAACGTATACTGAACCCGAATTCAGTGGCATCCGAGCTTTCGCGGCTTACCACCTCAGCCATGGCCTACAATACAACCTCCCATGAGGGTCTCATATCACATAGCCCGACATCTCCCTGGCATAGTGATTCTCGTCATGATGAATCATCAACACCAATCCGCTCTTCACCTAACACCATGCAATTGAACTCTGGCTTAGCAGCTAAATACGACCAAGGGCGAGTACTCGTCGTAGACTACAAAGACACCCTCAGCGCTACTCAACGCATTGGCAACTTACCATTTAATCAGGGGAAATATAGCGCCGCAGAACGAGAGTACCAACGAGCAGCCAAAGGGCGAGAGCGAGTACTATGGTTAGATCATGAAGAAAACCTTGCTGTGATTCAAGACCTTGGCGACTCACTTTTCTATCAACAAAAATATAGCGCCGCACAACGAGCATATCAACGAGCGGCTGATGGCCGAGAGCGAGTACTAGGGTTAAACCATGGAGATACCCTTGGCTCTCTTCACTCGCTGGGTGAATCGCTTTTCTACCAAGAGAAATATAGCGCTGCGGAACAAGCGCAACAACGAGCGGCTAATGGCCGAGAACGAGTACTAGGGAATTGCCACAAAGACACCCTTTACTATTTTCAATCACTGGGTTCATCTCTTTTTAACCATCAGAAATATAGCGCTGCAGAACAAGCGTATCAACGAGCAGCTGATGGCCGAGAGCAACTACTAGGGAATGATCATCAAGACACACTTGACTCTATTTACTGGGTAGGTCGATCGCTTCACCACCAAGGTAAACATAGCGCTGCGGAACAAGAGTACCCGCGAATAGCTTCATTTGGGAAAGAGGAAGAAAAAGATGAGGAAGATGAGTAGGAAGATAAGGGAAGGGAAGAAGGCTCCTACTAACGCCACCGATAACGCCTCTAGCGATTGAGTCGTCATTGGCGACGTTTACCCCAATCATGTTCCAATGGAATTAAAGTAGTCCTAAAGAATGTCTCATTCAAAATAGCCCTGATGTTTTGTTTCAGTCTCTCAAGCATTTCAATGAGCAGCTATTGAAGCTGGTCATTTCCATGCCTGCCTAGTAAGTGAGACGAGGTCGCCAACCGCGGCTAAAGCCATGCCGTGCCTGAGATTTGGTGAGACCCGTCACCTATGTTGGACATTCGTTTTTGTCAACAACTCAAGCGTCTACCTGATCCACCCGACGGCGAAAGACTTTCTGGTACAAGAAAATGACTGCCGATATTGGCCCCTCGGACGAACTGACTCCCGGTCATGATTGAGGCCCTCATTCAAGAGTGTTATATCCCACACATGTTTCTCGGAGCGACTGGAGACGATAATTTGGACTTTAATCCCGAAGTGATAGATCCGTCGTTTGCCGCCGTGACAGCGCCTTTCATACCTCAGATTTGGACGACTTACAGCAGAGAAATGCTAAACCTACTGGATGACCTTCGCTAATGGGCTACAAGCCTGGACGATGACCTTGAGCTAGCCGGGCCTAGAACACCGCGATTCGGCCGATGCGCAGACTCACCCTGTTGTGAGTCTCATGCGAGTCTCTTCTTCTTACCGCCACAACCCCTGATGGGAGAGTAAAGGCTGCGTAGTTGACCAAGGACTCACGCTATCTTCGCAGGCCGGTTTGTACACCATCTCAAATGCTTCCTGCCCGGAACTCGAACGGCGTACCTGTCACTCCTGGTCGGAAGTTCGCCTTTTGCACGCGAAAGTTCCATAAGGACTCGGGCCGAGCGCTAGCAGGAGGCTTGAACTCAACGACGCTCAATGCAACAGAATTGACCGGGGGAAACATTCGCCTACGGGCTGATTCAAGGTTCATTATGTGAAGAAATGGCCTACTCGCGCTCACATCATCCTTCGTGCAACCGGTTTGGCCCTGTTCGAGAAGAGCCTCGAATCGTTTCATCGTTTCACTCGCTGATGGACGCACAGTTGAGCCGGGCTTCGGGTAGGCATCGCAGTCGGCAATTGGCGTCTTCCAAAGCGCCTCCAGGCATTCTCCTTCGGAACAGCATGCATTTCCTGTAGCCTCTTCCAAAAGCTTGCAAGTCCCGCATGAAGTCCAATGCGTTGCTGTCGCCGCTGAAAGCAGACAAATCCCACCGAGGATGCTACTGTTTCTGTAGGATAGCATGTATAGCATCAACTGTATGGCTGGATAGCGACAAGAGTTTGTTTCCATATATGTCAAAGCTGAATTGAGGTCTCGCTACGGACAAAATTCCTGCGGCACAGGCTTTACCAATGCGACGTGGTCCAAAAGTAGAAGCATTCGGGCTGGACCAGTCTGGGACCCAGGATGGGAGTCCCTGCACATTCTTACTCGATGATACAGCATAGAAAATATCCAAGGTTAACGAACGAGACAGTATTTCTGTGGCAGCTTGTAGATACACATGTGCACATGACGTAGTGTAGGCAGGCAGAATGCGAAGCTCGTTGGAATCTGACGCAAAGCTCAGTACGGCAAAGATTCGGTCTCTGGGATCCATAGCCTTATTAGCCCATTCACCTAGATTCATAGTGATGTCTGAAAGAATTGACTCAAGCGGAGACTTCTTTTTACTGGAGGTGATGAGGTACAGAGTGCGCCGTGCAAGAAAGTTAGAACCAGCGAGGCTCGCCACACGGGAGTATTATCGTGAGCAAATTCACGGCCCGTCAACGTCTCGTTCGATAGTGTAACAACAGTTCGAGCACCTGCCCACAAGACATTCTTCTTAATTGACTGTTGGCCACAAAAAAGTATGACGCCGTCATGAAGAGCTGCCTCTTGCAGTACCCAAACTTTCCGGAACCATGGCAGTTCTAGAACCTTTGGAACAAGTTCCAAACTGAAAGCCGGAAAGTCTTGAGGAAACCATTTCGGTCTAAGTGAGGTCAGCGTATGCTCCCACGCGTTCTTTTTGTAGTCCGGTTTGCGTTGCAGGCTAATGAGTGATTGAAGAGCGGCCCGGCCTCCACGTCTCAAGGCCTCAACGCCTACATCGGAGTCATGCTCACTTGGGCCCAGCCAAACCAAAACCCCAAATGCTCGTCGATATATCTCAGCCATTAGCTCGACCTGCGCGTTTTGTCCACATCATCCTCCTGGTTGATGCATATCGCGTCTACCCAGAGGCTGAGAGCTTGATCCACATGCTCGAATCGTTGAAGAGCATTGGCCAGGTTGGCAGTGACCTGGACTCTTTGGTTATTCAGGAATATAACGGTGGTTTGTGACGCGTCATTCCAAGTGCACGAAAGGGGCAGATATTGGCCTCTCGAATTGGCACAGCATTCGTGGAGCGGTAAACACGGGAAGCAACTGACTGTGTCTCTGTCGGTGTTTGCCCGGTATCACGACGGGAACAAATGAACAAGTCGGATTTCTCTGCTGGCGTGATTGAGTGGTTGCTAGGTCCGCTTCGTCGGCACACCCGCAGCTGTGACAATGGAGGCGGTGAGAAGAGGGCAGGTTCAAAGACAGAAGCCATGGATCTTGCTCAGGACATCACGTTTCGATGCATTTCCGCCCGAGGACATGCTGCCTGAGAGTTGGTGTAGGATTGATGCAAGAATGCAGAGATGTGGCGCTGCGGCTTATGCCGGCTGGTGGTTTGGGCAGCGTGCATGCCGTCACCAAGGCGATCGTCCAATGCTCTCGGCGTATTTGGGCAGCGACCCTGAGGGTCTATCAGACCAGCTTCATGCCGTCGCACGCATCATCCCAGAGAGATGGCGGAATTCACACATCTGGCCTAGTTTGCGTCGCGGAAGGAGCGACCCTTTCGGGAGGTTGAGCCAGGCACATCATTGCCCAATCGGCCAATGGAATGATGGGGTCTGACCTTCCGTTATCCAGCCGTTGCCACAAGCAAAAACCCAGGTGCCCAATTGTGCCCATCACGACCGACGACAAAGTTGCATCACAAAAAAAGCTTCTGTTGATGACCGGTGGCGGAATCAACAATGGACCAAGGCTTTCAGGCTGGCGCCGAAGCCTTGCGTCAATCGATACTCTCGACCCCGATTATTGACAACCACGCACATCCGCTGCTTAAAAACAGCCATATCGACAAGTATCCCCTGCTTACCATCGTAACGGAAGCTCATGGTGACGCGCTCGACTCATCGCGAACCAGCCTGGCCCACATTCGAGCCGTCAAACAGCTTTCGGAACAACTTGGATGTGCCGCGACTTGGGACGCTGTGGAAACCGCCATCGAAAAAGAACGACGACATGACTACACCGCATGGACTCAGAAATGCCTTGCCGGTATCGAGTGCGTCCTTGTGGATGACGGTCTGGATAATGAGCAAGCTGTCGAGCCCTACAGCTATTTTGACCAGTTCGCCTCCAGCCCCAGCAAACGTATTCTTCGCATTGAGCAAGTTGCCGCCAAATTTATAGAATTTGCGTGTATCTCACAGACATCGCCCGCGAGAGCATTTGACTACGCCATCGCAGATTTCGAGGCCGAGCTTAGAGGTGCAATTTCCAACGCGGAAGTTGTCGGCTTCAAGTCGGTAATTTGTTATCGAACAGGACTTGACATTGCATCCAAGGCCAGCGAGTCTGAGGCGCGTGCGGCATTTGCGAGTATTTTCTCACAAAGACAGTCAGTAAATGCTACGAGGTTCACAAAGTTGAATCATCGCGCGCTCAATGAATTCATCGTCCACCGTCTCGCTCAATTAATCCGGGACTCCAAGTCAACCCACAAAAAGCCTATTCAATTCCACACTGGCCTCGGTGATAATGATCTCACTTTAACACGATCTTCTCCGGCGCATCTGCAAGAATTCGCACGGCAATATCCAACAGTCCCAATTGTTCTTTTGCATTCCGGCTATCCCTTCGATCGGGAAGCAGGATACATGGCGGCAATGTATGGAAACGTATATGCTGATATCGGCGAAGTTTTCCCATTCGTCAACAGAGATGGGCAAGAAAGCATAGTACGCCACATTCTGGAGCTCTGTCCTTGGGAAAAGATCATGTGGAGTACCGATGGGCATTGGTTCCCGGAAACCTTTTATCTCTCAATAGTCCAAATGAGGGAGGTGTTCCACACAGTCTTGTGCAAATTGGTGCAAAAGGGGGACATCACATGGAAACAGGCCGCTCAAATGGTACAGGATATGTTGTTTAACACCTCTAATAATATTTATAATCTCGGTCTAACGTTGAGGAGCCAACTATCCGAGAATGTGCCATCATCCGAAACAGTATCAGCTACTGTTGAGTCACAACACTTGTTGACACACTTGAGCAACACCGAAAAGCCACATTACATACGCTTATGCTGGGTGGATTATACGGGTATTCCAAGAATGAGAGTCATACCTTCACGACAGGTTTTGTCCGCGCTAAAAAACAACCAGCCGCTCTCAGCCAGTGTTACGAAGGGGTGTCTTGGCATCCTTCAAAATGATACCTTGATTCCTGGTGTTGGCGCAGCTGGAGAGTATAGGCTGCAACCAGATTTTTTATCCCTCCGTCACGGGCCACGGGATGGCCATATTACGATAATGTGCGACTTCAAGGAAAAGGATGGCTCGCTCGTCAACCTCTGCCCCCGAACCATGTTGAAAAAGGCCTTGGGCCTTGCTCGTCTTCGGAATATCGAGCTTCTGTTTGGTTTTGAGATTGAGCTCGTGCTCCTCCGCCGCTCAGACAACGGGGGATATAGCGATCATAACAATAACGGACACTCTTGGTCAACAGTCGGAGCCATGGACCACGAGGTAGTCGAAAAGGTGTTAGAACCCGCAATACAGCAACTCGATCACGCCGGGGTATACGTCGAAATGCTGCATGCAGAAAGTGCCAAAGGCCAATTCGAAGTAATCTTGCCCAAGGCTAGGGCAATGGAAGCCGTGGACACTTTGATCTTTGCGCGTCAAGTCATAGCTAGCTGCGCAAGTGCCTGTGGATACAAGATGACATTGCATCCCAAACCGATAGCTAATGCGTGCGGCACCGCGGCCCATGCTCACATTTCAATCGCGTCAGATGACCTCAATGCAGCTCTATATGAATCATTCTATGCGGGTATCTTGTCTCACTTGAGAGCTATATGCGCCTTCACGTGTAGCAATATGGTGAGCTATGAACGACTTCGAAACGGCGTCTGGGCAGGAGGTACGTGGGTTGCATGGGGTACACAAAATCGCGAAGCGCCTCTTCGCAAAATCGAAAACAGTCATTGGGAACTGAAGTGCGTGGATGGTCTTTCCAATCCGTATATAGCCACAGCAGCTGTTGTCTTAGCCGGACTCGACGGTGTTCAGAAGGGGAAAACGCTTGACTGGGGTGATTGCACAAGGGACCCTTCGTTACTTTCGTCTGACGAGCGACTTCAATTGGGTATTGATAAAAAGTTGCCAGGGAGCATCGAGGATGCTTTGAACGCCCTCACTGAAGATGAGGATTTGACAAATCTTTTGGGCGTTGATGTTGTCGAAAGATACGTGGGGGTGAAGGAAGCGGAAGTGGATTTAATGAAGTCCATGAGCACGGGGGACAGGAGAAAATGGATCATAGACAGATATTAACAGGTATATTGAGGTCGAATCAAGCCTCAATGCTACACCAATCAATGTTCGTGTGTTGTTAAAAGACTAGAGACATCAAATACACCGGTGCACCAAATATGAAGGAAGGCACATGGCGTCGCCGAACCAAATACCCCTGCTTTGAATTTATCCAAGAATCAAACGCTTTCGATAGCCGCACATATAGATTAGCCGAGCACTATGAAAAGGCAACGGGCCTGCTGAGCTGTAGCCGAGGTAGGCGTGGCGATAAATTAGTTGTCGGACGGCCTAGAACTAAATCCGGGTGATCACTAGTGTGATTAGCTAACACTATGCATTGCATATGATAGTGTGTAATTCTAGATGATCTATCGGTCTGGTAAATGACAGCAGTAACATGTAGGGCTAGGTGGCTCAAGATGTGTTAAGGAAAAGCAAGCCCGTTACAGTGCCCTTGATCGCGGGTAATTTGACTACGATATCCTTTTCTTCATCTTTTACAGCTTGGGCAAGCATGGCTCCTTTTGGGCCACGCATTCGACAATGATGGGGGAAAGTGACCAATTTGATACAGGATTCATAAGGAAAAGTAAAAACGCCATCATAGATACAAACCATTCTCAAGAGAGAGGAGAAAATTTTCCTCAAGCACAGTAACCAAGAGCACATGATGGTGATTCATTAATACACGGGCCAAACACCCCTGGTCATGACCTCGATTACGTGTCCCTCCCAATCCTTGACATAGACCGACTTCCCGCCCAAGTCCCAACTCATCTTTGCGATAATGTTGACATTTTTGTCTTTGAAATGCTGCTCCCACTGAGAGAGCTCGTCATGGGAGGCGCACGCAAAAGCCATGTGCTGGCCGAGGCCGGTCTCGGTCCCGTGCTTGGGAATGACGCCCTTGGGAAATATTTTGTCTTCTTTCGTCCTGTTCCGGTCGAACAGCAGCAGTATTGTGTCATTGGGTAGGCTGAACCCCGCACTCCGGGGGTTCTCGTGGAACGGCACGATGCCCATGATGTCCTTGTACCATTTGGCCAGGCTGGCTACGTCCGAGGTGTAGAGGATCGTTTCCACGATCTGACCTAGCTTGGGAGGCATGATTGAGGCGACCTTTGATTTTCGTCTTGTGTCATTTTCGCGATGTGTCGAGCTGAACCGTGAGGGGTGTTGCCTTCTTATAGTTGAATGCGATGGGCGGGGTTGAGCAGCCACCTTTTGTAAGCTTTCGTCTCGAGTTGGTCGTTTAGCCTATTCGGGTTATCGATGCTGCACCAAGCTGTGCCGCGTCACTGTGTGATGTGGGAGTGCGCCTGCATCGTGAGCAAGCCAAGACTCGTCGCCCCTCCATGGTTTTGATTGTGATGTGAGGTCGACTGCAGCTAGGTACCTCAAGTGACCGCTAGTGACAGGAACCTTGTTCGCCGCATCGGCAAATGCGGGGAGATTCGCATTCTGTCGTGAGATACGGGGTGCAAACCAGACATAAAAGCGGCCTCTGCCAGGCCATTTATGTGAGACATATTCTCGATGAGAGCGCGGAGCATGAGTGGCGTGGAGTGTATGGCATGCCTCTGCTTTCTTGGCATATCCTTGGGCAGGCAGGCCACAACGATACGGTTGGTAACTTATATACCCAGGTCATTGCAGTATATCAATTTTACTCACATCTCGATTAGGATGCAGACTTGACTAAGCACAAACAAAAAAGTCCTGCGTCACTTCTGATGACCACTCCTGCTCCTTGATGCCACATGTCGAGTCAATTAATTCATGCTGGCCGCGGTCCATGGGGAGCCAGGCGCAAATCCGGACCCGTTAAGCGGCCTCTGCCGGTGAGGCCACGCTGCGCGGCGCAAACAAGGTTAATGCTGCGTGGCCACTCTCAGGCCCCGCACAGAATCGGAAATAAAAACAGAGTCGTAGATGTTGGCATTTCTTCTCGAGTGTGGCCGATGATTTGGGTACATGGTGAGGCGCAATGGGTGTGAAATGATGGCAAGATCCTCTCCGGTCTTGGAAAACGGATACCACAAAACTCGAAACTCCTTCCCCGTCAAAGAGATTATATAAGTATAAGGCATGACAATACCAACATGCAACGAAAACTCAACTAAAAAAAAGACATTTGGTTTCAATGCTGCCAGCCGTGACGTCGTGGCCGGATAGGGGGTCCCGCGAGAGAGACATGGCAGGGCAGGAGCGGCCCTGGTGCACCTTCCCCGCCCAACAGCGGGGCGCGAATGGCAAAACGAGTCCCAACGAGCCACGACTTCTTGCCCTGCAGGGCTTGGCCTCATCTGATGGAACACGACTTGAGAATTTGATGCATCTGGCCATGCTCATCACTTGGACACAGTGAAAGGCCTCCAGGGCGCAAGCACACAGAACAATTGGCACGGTGCCATTTAGGGCCATAGATTGCGGTGGTGGTGATTTAAGACCCAGAGCTCGGCCTTTCTTGGTGCCCTCTTCTCGGACTCCGTTTTGCGTCGTCCATTCTTCATTTCACCACCACTCCTCGCCAACATGAAGATTCGCCCTGCTACATTAGACGACGTACCCGCCGTCGCTCGCATCGTCTTGTCGGCTCTGGCGAACGAGGCACCGTGGAAGGCATTCCTCCCGCGCAGGGCACAAGCTGACGCTACCCATATCGAATACTGCGAGGCAATCCTTCGAAGCTACCTAGAGCCGGCCAATAGGAATTCCTGGCTCATCTTGGTCGTCGAAATCTCTGCGACCGATGCCAAGATAGATTCTGGGCCGATTGTCGTTTCCGTTGCCGTGTGGGACACCTCCGCCGGTCTCGGCCAAGGCCAGGGCGACAAGGGGCGGCCGGGGAGTGTTGGTCAGGATACGCGAAGCCATGGTGCGTCTTGTCAACCTGAATAAGACGTTGATTGAACTACCATGCTAACCAGTCCATGTGAAGCCGTTGCGGCCATGAACTCGCAGCCGAATCGTCAGCTCGATGACAAGGCTCCAGCCAAGCTCGCTGCCCTCTGCCAGGCCACTGTTGACGGGAGAAGGAGACACTTCTCCAACCATATTCCTTACATTTTCCTTCATCTGTTGGCCACAGGACCTGATTACCAAAGAAAGGGTTATGGAAAGGCTCTTTGCGCCTCTGGTATCAATCTGGCCAGGCAAAAGCATGCTTCAGTCTGTCTGCAAACCGCGTCTAGGGGTTACATCCTCTTCTCGGGACTCGGCTTCGTCGACGAAGGACCCGTAGCGCTTCCCGCAGAGCCAGGGACTGAGGATGTTCTCATCAAGGCCATGGTGCTAGATTCAAATCTGATACAGCGACGTGGATCAATCTTTGACTCCCTCATGCGATATATTACGGGTTGAAAGATTCGTCGACAGAGAACTATTATGCTTGGGGCATAGGGAGACCGAGGTCATCACTGTCGGATATCATATTCCCCACAATGGCCATCTATACCATGCAAGAAATATACACGGCTATCAAAGTCTGTATAGTGTCTGGGAATATTAGATACTTGACGAGTCGCCGGTAGCAACGTCTCGCGAGAATATACCCTCATTACTGCTCTTTCAAGCTCTCGTGGCAGTTCTGTACGCACGCAGTGCATTCATGGCTGCTTGCTTGTCGCAACCCTTTTTCAAAGCCTCCCAAATAACGTCCTGCTCTGATTTCGGGGCCATGCTATCATTTTGTGGCGGGTTGTGATCCAGATTGGTGGGAAATGCATACCCTTCCCCAACCGCTGCAACAAGGGCTTGTACAGCGTGTGTAGGACCTTTGCTCTTGAAAAAATTCAGCAATTCGTCCCAAACAGCCTCTATCAGAGGTAGCGCATCAATTGACTCCATTGGCTTTCCAAACGCACTGCTAATCTGCAGTAAATTGGCCAACCTATCGATGTCCCGGGACTGGTTCGTGCCCGCGGCATGAAACAGAGCTGGATTGAAGAACAGCCCATCACCCTCGTCTAACGGCAGGGCAACATGGTTCTGCAAGAAATAGTCGTTGAATTCGGGCAATCGATATGCCATGTATCCCTCTGCAAATGTCTGGCTAAAGGGCAGCAAACGGGTCGGTCCGCTTTCGACGGGGACGTCAACGTGCGCAACAGCACCCTGCAGCGTTAAACACTGACTGGCAACCTGCATGGCGCGCGGGATCCGGGAACACGGCTCTGAAGACATGAAGCCCAGGTGGTAGTCCCTGTGGGCGACCTGCGCTGCCGCCCCCGGCTTGACATTGTTCACTTGCGCTGTGATTCTGTATCCCGGTCCCAGCCACGATGACGCAATAAGACCCAGATACGGATTGGAGTAGTATTCGAAGAATGAACGCGGGTGCGCAAGCCCATGCTTGCTGAACGAGTTCCAAATTCTGTCGTTCTTGCCAGCCCCGGCAAAATGGTCTCCGCGACCGGCCATGGTCTGCTTCTCTTTGGCGATGATGCTGTGAAAGACGGCATTCACGTCCTTGAGGAGGGTATGATCGCGGTAGAGGCTTTTGGTGACGAAAACACCAGGGCCGTGGAGAAGGACGCTATACCATTCATCCTGGAGGCCTGTCTTATATAAAGACTTAATATAACTTTAAGAATTTAAATTAATAGGTAAGTAACTTATTATTTATCTTAAATAAAAAGTATAATAAGCCTATTAATATTCTAATAATTAATATTAACTTTAAACTTAAGTAAATTATACGTAAAGGGAGTATTAATACGAGTAATTACTAATACTAGTAAACGTCTTTTAATATAACTAAAAGAAGTAATATTTTAAGCGTGGGAAATTCTCGCTTAATAATATCTTTTAAGTAAAAGTTAAGGGTAAATTAATATATTTAAGCCTTTAAAGATATTCTTTTAATAAGTATTAATTTTAGATTAAAATTTTTACCTATAACTTATATATAAAACTAATAAGATACCTGTTACGAACGACACTGCACAAGACA